TCAATTGCCATGTTTTCTCAAAGTGTTAAACAACTGCATTCGGATTAAGATGAAAGTTTCCACGGCAACAAATTAGCCAATGCACATAAAAACAAATACAAAAAAGTTCATTAACCTTCACTTTTTCATTTGCATCTATTCCATCTAGTTGATGTACATGTACATTTGCATGTACATGTAGTTGATACTAAATATTTTATGTACTATCAATTGCCAATGTTGACTTTAAAAAGTGTAGTGTGAACTGTACATACAATGAAGACTGTAGAAAGTAGCCTAGCCTGATCTTAAAGTATTTCAAGAAACATAAATAAAGATTACAGTTACTACAATTGAAAATAAATAAACTTACCAGATGCTGACACTGGGTGACAGTAGATTGAGATTCAACAAGTTTTGCTAATTAGAACTGCTTTCATGGAGAAAGATTCAAGAAGAGTTTTAATACAGTAAAGATGATTTGACTCTTCCCAAATGTGATGCTGCATGGATTCTACACAGATATGATGCTGTTTAAATGGTTGTCACATGGCTGTCACATGCCTTTAATAAATGTTCTATACTGCCATCTCTTGTCTTAGTTAAAGAATCACTTCACTTTCTTCTGATTAAGGCTTACAAATAAGTATCTCCTGGCACTAATATCATGGTTGGTAACGTTACAATCCTTAAGCCTGGTTGGTAACGTTACATGGTTGGTAACGTTACAGATTTTGACTGCTAATATTTTCTACATCATAGAATATTTGTAATTCTGGTTCCTTTACTTCAATAGAGCATTGTATAGGAAAGGAAAATTTGAAATATGACAATTAATAGCCCCCAGATTTTCTCTCCAGAAAAATAAATTCATGTTTTGGTTGGTAACGTTACATGGCGTATCAAGGGTTTGGAATTTCGTGAACTGTAGACTAAATCACTTTTTAACTTGAATTTTGCTTAATGAAACCATGAGGGCATTGTACTCCCTCAATAAATTCAATAGGTTTGTGAGGATATAGTTACTTTTATGTTGATAATGACTTAAATAACTTTTTTTCCTCTTATATTACAAATTTCACAGGAAAACATGAACAATGTTCATTTGCAATTTTCACTCACTTATACCAAATGTATGGTGTGGAAAATATTTTTTTCAGATACTTTGTGGTGTCTTTAGTCAAATACAAAAACAAAAAAAAAGAAAATTTGAATTCTAAATTTTTTACTCATGTCCACCTAATCATGGAATTGCCCATAAGATGTAATTGTATATCAGTCTATTTTGTGTGTATAGCGCTTAGAGACTTCGGTGGTAAGCGCTTTATAAGTAACGTTTTTATTATTATTATTATTATAAGTAATGGTGTGTAATGCAAGGTTCTGGAGTCATCAAAATCATCATAAATTTGGCAGAGTCTTGGTAAAGTAACAATCACTTACACAGAAAGATGTATATGGGACAACACATATGGTGTCGGGGCTAGTACTACCCTGATTTCCTTATCTTTCTATGCTTATTACTCAGCCAGTATACATTTTCTTCCAAAATTGTTTGGCACATGACATTTATTTGTAATCTTGAACATTCAGTGTAAGTTTCGTTAGTTTCTGTGAGAATTCATTTTCTTTTTTTACCAGAACTCAAGTTTATCTTTAAAGGTAAAGACCAGTATTGGAAACGCCCCAATTTCAAAAAATGAAATGGAAGCTCTTTTTACCACTCATGTGAAAGAATATGTTTTGAATATTACATGATGATAACAATTTTGACGGGAAACCGCCTACTATATTTGGTAATTAGTGTATCTCTTGCCTGTTGAGAGATATAAATACATGTGTCGCGCACATTGTGTAGTCACATCTTTCTATGTACAGTGCTTCTAACTTTATGAAGACTTGGCCAAATTTCTTATCATTTTGATGATTCCAGAACCTTGCAGTACATCTATGCTAGATGATCAACCTTTTTTCGATTTCACAACGTTTCTTTCACAATGCAATCGCATGACCATAACTGGTCTTTAGCTTTAAGTCTCTGATAATGAGGGTTGTTCCGCTGGGAGTACAGGTCATGAGGTGTACGTCTGGCTTCACTGACCGCCTCTATATATTACATTTACGTAGGTAGGCTATGGGGTAGCACAGGGGCCTACGTTTTGCTTCCCATGCCTTGTGTACAGAGTTTAACAGTTCCGCATCGATGTCCTTTGGCTTTAGGCTAATGTCCTTTACAGCTACATCGCATGCACAAAATCCATATAGGGTCTACATGTACATGTAGACCTATGCATAATTCATGAGGCAGCTACATTCATATTGAAAGCAACATCCCATCGCATGTGCATGAATGTCTTCTCGCACTTTGAAAAACTAACATCAACTGATAGATAAACATCCATACAAATATTCCACAATAATTCACAAATTATAAAAAATCAGTCAAAATGTACTGGAAACGATAGGCTTTAAAGATAAACTTGAATACTGGTAATGCGATTGCATTGTGAAAGAAAAGGTGTGGAATGGATCAGAAAAGTTGATCATATAGCATGCAGGGTGCTACAAGAATTTTTTTCACCACTTGCCCTGTCGGGCAAGTGGGTTTTCAATTTACTTGCCCAAACAATATTTCCACTTGCCCAAAACTTTAACGGACATTTTTATTTCATCATTCACTGCTATAAATATCATGCCAAAATTTGTAAATTCTTACTAAATAATAATATTGAAGATATTTTACGATAAATCTCGGATAAGTATGCGAAAACTAGACTAAACAACGTCGCTAAAACCATGAAAACAAAACAACAACGGCTTATATTCTGGGGGTCTCGATACTATTATCAAAATGACTCGCTCGGTCGGATCTTGAGACCGCAGTAATAAATTGAAAACGAGACAAAAACATTCATCTGATTTATATGAGCAGCGAGTTTTAAATAATATGTTCACAATCATTAACAGTCATTATGAATAAATATCAAACATTTGACTTTTTGTACTTACTAGAAAATCCCTGTTGTTTATTCCATTCCGATTCGCACGTGTTCATTTCCCTAGAATAATGACGTCATATTTGGCGTGATTCAACCAATCGGCAATCAGAGAATAGCAAAGGCCTGTCGGTGCGGCCTGCAGAGCTAGAGAGAGAGAGCGCGAATAAGCTCGCAGCTGGTACGATCGCGCTAGCTGTCTCTAGCTAGCTCACGGCCGGCCGTGCGTGGAGGCGGAGCGGCATTCATGGCTTGAAGTGTCACTGTTGCATGCGCGCTGAGCTGGCTAGCTGTCTGTGAAGTTTTTTCGAAATCGGAACGATCGCTTTTTTGCTTCTGGATTTTGACGACGGGTAAGAAGTTGACGGGTGAATGGTAGAGTTCTTGGACACTAGGAAATTACTGTAAAAGTATCACTTGCCCGAATCGGGCAAGTGATAATTTGATTTACTTGCCCGACGGCTCAATTTGGTTGCCCCGGGACGTCGGGCAAGCGGGTTTGTCGCGCCCTGAGCATGTAGGTAATGGTGTGTAATGCAAGGTTCTAGAGTCATCAAAATCATCATAAATTTGGCAGAGTCCTGGTAAAGTAACAATCACTTACACAGATAGATGTATATGGGACAACACACATGGTGTCGTGGCTAGTACTACCCCGATTTCCTTATCTTTCTATGCTCATTATTCAGCCAGTATACATTTTCTTCCAAAATTGTTTGGCACATGACATTTATTTGTAATCTTGAACATTCAGTGTAAGTTTCGTTAGATTCTGTGAGAATTCATTTTCTTTTTTTACCAGAACTCAAGTTTATCTTTAAGTAAATGATGCTCCGACGATCTCGGTATAAATGCGATGATGTCATTTTTTAACTGCATTGTGGGAAAGGCTTACAGTGAATTAGGTAGAAAGAACTTGATAATGATCCGATAATATTAAACCATATCATATTGAAACTTCGTCGGCTGCTAATCGGACAGCTGCCAGCACAGCTTGCACGCATACGTCGCTGGACGAGGCATGACGTCACACGATCGAAACCATGGCTAAGCAAACAGTTGTGGGTAGTGTGTGGAGGGAATGTGTCTGTTCGGCTGAACAGAGATAAATGAAGGTTTTTCTCTCCAGACTTTACGTCTTCTTCATTTCTACTTTGGCTGCAATTAATATACAATCCCTGTTATTATAAAAATAGTAAAAAAAAAAAAAAATGAAATATGTACTTTGACTTAATACGATAGCTTGCTCATTTAGCTCCTAAATTCATTTATAATTTGAGAAAGATTGTCAACATGATTTGTTGTCTAAAAAAGAAAATGTTTGTAGTAGATGTGGTACAAAATCGCTAGTATTCTCCTAATGTTGTGCATGCCATAAGGGGTAGCGCCTGGAAGGTTGACAAATGTCAGTTTTTGTAAAGAATTACCCTTACCAGATCGTTATTTCTGTCTACAGCAGTTCAGGCTTAATTAAAGAGATTCTAAATCTAAACCACATATTAGATTTAGAATCTCTTCAATTTTGTGGCAGTTCTCTTCTATCGCTCTTTGAGTACGAGTATACAGTCCTTCCAATAGATTTTTATATATTTTTTATGATCCTGTAATCTTCTGGACAGTCCGTCTCTGTGTGTCAAGCTGGGCACCGTTTCACAAATCTGTCATGATCACAAGTTCACCAACATTGCATTGAAATGGGTGTTAAATTTAATACCGGTACACACATTTTATTGGGATGTCACCCAACTTTTACTTAAATGACGGTTTTGTGAAAAACTGTCCGGATGTCTGAGTCCATCCTTAAAAAAATGTAAAAAATTGGTCAGAATTTGAGGTTTTGTTAGATTCATATTTCTAATAATCATTAGGAATGCTGAAATTGTAGGTGTAATTGGTACGGGACAAAATAAGTAGGATTTGTCAGTTAATATACATAATAAATTACCCTGGGGAATTCAAGATGAATCCATTCGACCTGACTTGAATTTATGTTAATTTTGTATCATTTCTTTCTTTCTTTTCCAGGATAAGATAGATGGAGCTGTTGAGATTGTTGACACAATCAGGTGAGTTTCATTTTATGTTTTGGGGCTATCTATGCCATATTGGGTGTGAATTTATACTGGACTTTCTTCTCTTTGTCAGCTACAAATACACTGTACATGCAGTGAAGAAGAAAAAAAATATAGTATACAGGATCGATAAGGGATTTAGATTTGGAAAGTAGGGGGAACAAGGCGAACATGGCTTAAAAACCAAAGAAGTTCTTAAAATTTGTCACAACATAAAACATTTACTAGAGCAAATTCAGGAAGAAGAAGAAGAGCTTCCACTATTGATTTTTTCATGGCAAATTTTTAAACTGATCATTGTGTCAGCTTACAGCTTGCTTTTATTAAACTACTAGGAATGATTATTATATAAAATCCTTACCATCATTAAAGAGTTTTACAACTATTGAAATTGTTATTACATTATTTCAATCTATAATTCGCACTCTGCAGGATTAGCTATTATGTAAGACCGGCTTTTCCTTAGTTGACCATATTTCATTCATATCGGCATGGCTTTGTTTTCTTATCCTATCCAGATGGGTATGTGAGGATATTCCTCAGCTAATGCTTGCTATGGAGAACAATGTCTTGAATGATTACGACACATCCAGGTGAGAACTTGTATAAGATAAGGATAGCCACTCACTCACAAGCCTTTCCGTAAGCAGGCGCCCAGCGCTTTTTACCCAACGGTCCTTGACCTTTTGGCGCCCGGAAAGATGGAAACAATGAGTCCCAGGTGCCGATTACAGGGGCAACTTAAAAAAAATGAAATGGTCCAAAATAGCCCCGAAACAAATGTGGAACGACTACGTGCGGACGTTATCTCCTAGCCACCGTGTAGGGCGGAGAAGGAGAGCGTGCAAGCAACACTCTCACACCGTCTCAAAGTTAGACTTCGTTGTGAATACTTTACTTTGAAAAACGATTCTCAAGTTTGGTATAGCTCAAGTGTACAGGGCCAGAATAATCGCAATCCAAGCTTTGATTTCACATCTCCTATTCATGAAAACTATAGTGTTCTGATAGACTAATGAAGGTAACAGTTAACAAATAATTTAAAAGAATACATATTTTGATTAATTTGGGAAATGGCTCCTGGTCCTGGAAAAAACAGCTTGCGGTTCTCTTAAAAATCTAAGGACCGGGAGCCGCTTTGTTAGATATTTGGTCCCCCATCTGCTTCGACTTACGGAAAGGCTTGGCCACTCAAGAGGGCAAATGTGTTTTGATTTTTTATGATGTAACAGTTTTTAATTTATAATTTTTATAAGAATACATGTACACACACTCAAGTTGATGCTTATTATCACAGGACATAATTATAATCTTAATACATTTGTGACATAAACTGCAATTATTGCATTTGTTAGTATACATAAAGGTGAAAATTACAGGAATATTGATGACTTTTCTTGCTTTGTTATGCAGCTATGAAAGTATGTTGACACTGTGTGACAAATACAACAGGACTATTGATGCAATAAGACAATTGGTAAGTACTGGATGACGTCTTGCTTAAGCTATACAACAGGAAGTGATGATATGATTGTTGAACTTTGGCTATGCCATTGGCTACTTTATTTCACAAGGGACTCTTTTGATAAAATAAGTTATCTAATGTGAATGGCAATAAATGTCATATCATCCATTTATTTCCTCACCTGCTAATTTAGTAGTTACAGGGATAGTTGAGTTTTTGGTATAGAGGGCAATACACTAAATATTTTTTTGGTGAGATAATGAAAAACTGATTCAAATTTGAAGGCATACAATTTGTTTGATCAAAATCGGTTCACAGACGGCTGCAATATCCATAAATATAACCATTTCTAATTGTGGGGCTCCTCAAAATAATGGATAATTTTAAACCAGCCATTGAAAAACGAAATAGCGCCTTGTACGTTTTATTCTAGCCGATGCCAATGTTGGCTTTTTGTTTGCTTTTTCGGGTTGGTTATAATACGCACATCTAGTCGGCTCATGAACTGTTATTATTATTAAATTAACGGTCCCTGTATTTTGGGGTAAGTGGAGCTGAATTGGTATCATCTGATTTAATCTAAATTTCACACATTTTGGGGTCTAAAATGACCTTCATAGCAATTTTAGGTCCTTAACGGGCACTAGAAATGCTATATAAAAGCAATAACCATGCACTTTGAAGGCATTTGCGGTCTTAAACAAGAACTCAACTGTTCCTTTAACACCTAACCATATTTATTTACCCAATTAATGACATAGTTCTTTACTTTACTGTAATATCCTAACCAAAGTATTGATTGATTACCTATTCGTCTTCTGGGGCATTTTGTTAGACGATTGTACATCCATTTTATAATTTGCAGTGGAAAGTATCATCATGCGACTCGCCCATTTCCAAGAGAGCAACGCCTGGTCTGCTGAAGCATATCATGCAACAAACCTACGCCCATGCCATAGATGATCCTGACAAGCTCAACTGCTATGAACCATTCTCACCTGAGGTACAGTATAGTCCTCTTCTTCTTTCCTAAAATTGTTTTGTAGCTGAAATGACGAATAAATGTTAGAGAGCCCCAAGTTTAATAATTTAATAATTATAATTATAGGGCACTTTATACAGGCGTTTCTAAGCGCACAGGTGGTACTGTCTAACTTAGTATCATTATTCAACATGTTCTATAGCTTAAAATTTGTGTGTGTGTGTGTGTATTGGGTTTTTACAGACATGTATCAATCAGATATGATTATTTACGTCTGGGACCGACCTTTAAACGTCACCATCCGAAAGACGTGACTCAGTTTCGAACCTGCGTCCTCGGCTGAATCAGTTTGTAACTTCCACTTTTTAGCTGGATTACAGGCGCACGCCACAACGCCTAGTTGTGCGTACATGTAGTTGTAGTACAAGGAGAGATTTGGTATTTTAATATTTTGCCAGTGTTAAGATAGTGTAAGCTGCTGGCAGTGGGCTACAGACATAATAGCGTGTGATTTCAGACATGGGTTTTTCCATCACAGTCTTAGTAGAATTGTGTATAAAACTTTACTGCAATACATGCCTCCCATCTGAAATTATTTATGAACATTTTGGTACTAAAATACACAAGTCTCGTCAGTGCCTCTGAGAAATGTCAGTCTAAAAATGTGCATCTTGTTTAAACTAAATCTTTAAAAATCTGAACAAATATCAGACTTGCTTTATTATTTTAATTTCCAACAAATCATGATTCTCATTCAACCTTTTCAAAGTGAAAACAAATAAAATGTTCAGATTTGTAGTTAAAATTTTGTTTGTTTCCTGAATTCTGAAGGTGTATGGAGAGACTTCATATGATCTGGTGGCTCAAATGTTGGAACATGTGAAGATCAATGAGGATGATGTATTCATAGATCTTGGCAGTGGTAAGGATCCTTTTGTTTTGCTTTATTCTAAGATATTCACTGATGAGCTATGGAGGGTTACGAGATTTCAGTCGTGAATTTTGTCCCTGATACCTCACTGTTGCAGGCTTTTTCAGGCTTGGTCTCTTACAGAACAAACGTGACTTTTTACCATGCTTGCATCCATTTTCACGCTAATTTTTATTGAGAAATCCCTGTAAATATTTCCGCAGATATAAAGAAAGTGCACCTGTTTGTATCTGTTGGGCCCATTTCAGGTCCCTGTTTACAAGGTAATAAATCTTCAGTGGGGAGACACCACTATTTTTCTATTTATAAGCAATACACAATGATTTATATCTACTTCCATGTTGAGATGATTTTGTTCAAAAGTTTAAGCTATGCCTACGTATAGGCATAGCTTAAACTTTTGAACAAAATCATCTCAACATGGAAGTAGATATAAATCATTGTGTATTGCTTATAAATAGAAAAATAGTGGTGTGCTGTAGAGCACATGATACACATTAAGCAAGGAACCTAAAACAATCATCTTAGCATTCATGTCCATAGAATTACAGTCAAACCTGCTTTAGTGACCACCTGTCTACAAAGACCGCTTTTTGCGTTTCCCTTGGGCAGTCGCTATTGACAGGTTTGACTGTATTTCAATACATTTTATTATGACTTTGCTTGTCCTACAATTGAAAAAAAAGGAGTGACTGTTCATGAGCGTCTTTGCAGTTGGAGTAGGAGGAATAGGTAAAGCAGGAAGAAGAAGAGTGTTTTGATGGTTTCATATTCCATTTCCTCTTCAGGGAATTTCCACTTGGGATTATTCAAAATGACATCTTTCATAAATCTGCAGAAAATTACTTTTTTTTTTTTTTTTTAACCAGGAACAGAACACAATCTTTCATTTTCCTTTAGGGAAAACAAATACAGTCAGGCAAATATGACTTTAGATTTGTCCTTCCAAAGAAAAGTGGGGAAACAAGTTGACTATTAATTCAAATATCGGACATTTTTAGAATATATGTTTTTTAAAGGTTGAAACCCGTACAATGCCAAATTCTGTGACTATTTCCATCATCTACATTATTTTTAAGTTTGATCCTACATAAAATGTGCAAGAAATGATATGTTTAGGGAATTCTGTTAGATCCAGAATTTAGCCAAGTGTTTGAAAGTATACCAGGAATAGCAAATGTAAAGGTAACTTGCATTTATGTTTCTCACAGTACATGTATTTGATTACATTCATATTCATTTGTAATCATTTCTTGCCCAGGTGTTGGGAATGTGGTGTTACAAGTGGCTGCTGCAACATCATGTAAGCTGGCCTATGGAATCGAGAAGGCGGACGTACCAGCTCATTATTCAGAGGTAAGTATGGAGCATCATAGCTTTTGATGGTTAGGAAGCGCGAATTCTGGTATGGAAAGAAAATCATTGACATGAGGTAGAGGAAACAACAAAACCTAGAGATGATGTGGAAGATTATATGTCAGCAGTAAAGTGGTATTATTTGATGTGCATAAATAAATTTATTTCCTTGACCTACCTTGACCTAAGCCTTCCGCACCATCTGGGGGATGTGTGATGGCTTCTGCTTCATGATCTCAAGCCAGATCATCCTATCTTGTGATGTTCTGGTCGCTTCTGTGAGGGATCCCAGACAATTTATTTCATATTATTCATATTGCATCCTCCTGATCTTTCTTTGGCTTACAGCAGGGGTTTATGTATGGATTTGTTGAAATGGTTTTATTAACATACACATTGAAGTGTTATGTTAAAGGGGGTGTAGCATGGCAAATACTGGTTCACGCCATCTACGAATTCTTTTGGACAACTGCACATAAACGAATGGACTTGATTAATGGTCAGCGCGCTAGTGTTTGCGAAACAGACCAAAATTCTCCTTAGGCTTTGGTTTCGCTCATGTTGCACGCACGCTATGTGTGAGCGGCCGCCGGAGTTGAAGATAGTCGAATCACGCAGTGGAACATCGAAGGACCATTTCGGCGTAACCAATACGTGGATATTGACACAGAATGGTGGGAAATCGGCAAAAGAAGACCAAGAAATGTTCACAGAAGTACTATAAGACCGAATCCAGTATCCAGTACCTGTGTATTCGGAAGTCTGAAAGAGAAATTCATCTTGCATATTGCAGCTGCATGCGATATGCCTACTGGGATTTTACTGCAGACTAGGCCGGCAGTCCCGGCCGCGCGATGTGTGAGCGGACGCTGGAGTTGAAGATGGTCGAGTTTCAAAGTTTCAAACAATGCGTGGATATTGACAAGGAATAGCGAAATCAGCAAAAGAAGACCAAGAAATGGTCTCAAAAGTACATGTATAACTATAAGACCGAATACAGTATCCAGTAGACCTGCTGTAGATCTATTTTGAAGTCTGAAAGAGGTATTCATCATGCATTTTGTACTACGTTATTTTTTTTTTTTAATGGGAATTATTTAACTAAATACACATGTAAAATGCTCCAAAATAAGGCTCATATTGCACCAGAGAACATCTAGAACCCCAGAGCTTCCAGGGCCCGAAGGCGGGCCCTGGACCCCGGGCGCTCCGCGCTCGAGATGTACGCTATGCGCACATTATTTGGTGTCGTTTTCAAATCCTCCTCATTTTTGATTTCCAAAAGTTGGCATCTCTGGTGTTGGTATGTCTGATTTATTCCACAGTTTGCAACAGTATTTATCCTCTTTCTTTCTTCTGGGTTAATTTTTGTTATGTTGTTTGGTGTGTTTTACGTCAAATGTATCAGTAAAATATGGTCTTAACGGTTTGCATTTGCGCTGCGTTACGACATCAATAGGTGTTTAATAGGTGAAAGGTAGGCCGGTTGAAAAATACTAATTTTGATGGTAAAATACTAATTTTGGAGGTGCTGAGTACTAATTTGTACTTCCAAAGGTTGGCAGCTCTGTATATCTTTAAATCTGAACCTTTTATGTTTGATACACTCATTGCAAATCTCTTTCTCACTCTCTTATAGGGGATGCAAAAGGAATACAAGCGTTGGATGAAGTGGTATGGGAAGGAACACAGCTTCTTTCTACTGGACCATGGTGATTTCCTCTCTGACACCATGAAGGAGAAAATAGCAAGTTCCAAGTGAGACATACTCCTTTCTTGCTCTTAAAGCCTGTCTGTCCTAGTTTGGCCTGGAGGGATTAGACCACCCATCGTGGACACTGACAGGTTGCTATCTCATCAACTCAGCCCTCACTTTAACATCAGAAAAAGAGGATCACGGGGGACCAATGGGCATCACTTGGGCATTGTTTTCTATATAGAGGTAGCAAGTAGCTACAAGTAGTGCAGTCAGGCTTTAAAGCCACATTGTTTTAGAAGCACTACAGGACAATCGCCTCTAGCGCCATCTCAGGTCAGCTGTAGCAGTATGGTCCCATAACGAGCTGCTTCCCTAGCTACGCTGTTGGTTTTTTGTTAGTTATTGGGTTATGCACTGTGGGCAAGTTGAACATGCAATGGTGTTGTGCAATTTACAGTACGCCGGGGCAGAACGTTCACCAGTTCTTCACCAGTTCAGTATCGCTTTAACAATTTTGCCAGGTTGTTCTATGCTTGCCCTTACAGACGCTAACATTATTCTCTCAATAAATCAATTCAATAGAAGTGAATTATTATTTCAAACTGCGTTTACTCAAGGCAAGTAATATCTCACGACAAATTCTTGTTTTTTTTGTCCACTTCCTATGTTTTTTTTCACCAAGTTTGAAAAGACAACAACATGTATTAAAACACTTTCAACATTTTGCGATTGATTGCAATTTTGAAGAACGATTCTGATTGGGCATTAGTCAGCGTTGTTAACAATTTATGCATGCAAGGATTATCCTGATTGGCCATTACCATTTTTGATTTATTTCAAACCTTTGTGTTATGGAGATATACAAAATCATTTGGTTGGACGTTGTTATGTATTGCTACCCGTATTCACAATATCTAAGCGTCCAGAATTCGACTGTAGATCACCTAACATCAATTTCTTTGTTTCTTTTTACACAGCATCATCTTCGTTAACAACTTTGCATTTGGCCCCCGTGTTGATCACCAGGTAAGTTCAATCCTTAAAGACTTGAATGCATTCTTTTTATTGATTACTGCCCTTCTCAGAAGCAAAAGTTATGGAGCATCTGTAAGGATTTTATTTGGTCATTAAATTTAGAATTTGAAATGATCACATGAATCTTACAGGATAAATCTTTCAGGAGCTGTACAAAAGTTTGTGCATTTGTGATTAAACCAGCCATATTTGATAATGGATATAATAATAATCCAGATTTATATAGAGTTTAATATGTAATACTGTCTCTAAGCGCTTTACAGATATTACAAATGTTCATCATCTCCATCCCCTGGGGAGTATTCCTACCATATAGTCACAGTGAGGGGCATATGGCAATTTGACACAAATGCTTTCGTCATCCTACTGGGTTCCCATTTCTCTCCTGGGTATGGAGTGGCAAATGTAGATTAATGCCTTGCCAAAGGACAGATTGAGGGTTCAGTGACAAAAAGACGTAACTCCATATTTTGCCAAAATTAATATTTGATATCAAAATGTTCAGAAAAATGTGGGCTTTCCAGGAAACACAAAGACTAAACTCCACCCAACACCCCATTGAAGTTAATGGCTAGTGAAACATAGACTTAACTCCTGAAGGCCCAAGTGCTCAATGACACATAAACCTCTTTTTCCTCAAAATGGCCCATAATGGAGTCTTGTCTTTGTGTCACTGACCCCACAATTACTTTATATTTATTTTATTTATTATATATATTTGATTGATGGTTTTCTATTTCAGTTGAAGGAGAGGTTTGCCAACATGAAGGAAGGTGCTAAGATCGTGTCCTCCAAAGCTTTCTGCCCTCTCAACTTCCGTATAACAGACAGAAATCTCAGTGGTAAGCATTTCCATCATAGATAGTAATGATAATAGTGGGTTCTTGTATAGCGCTCATGTCTGTCAGACTTGACACTCCTGGCGCTCCTGATTATCATCACTATTATTTCCTCTGAAATGGTAGGCCAAAGAACACCAAGGGAACACAGGCCTTCATAGAGATGTGTTCGGAGGCAAGAAATGTGGTCTTAATAAGCAGGTGGTCTTGATATTCAAGTACTTTAGCACAGGTTTCAATAGGAAACGGTGTGTAGTGACCCCTAAATGTGATCTCTTTAGACACGTGGTTTTTCTGAACAGGTGTTCGCTAAAGCAGGTTTCACTGTATATCATAAATACTTGCTCCTGAAAAATAAGGTAAGAGCTGTAAGTATGCATTCAGTAAAGACAAACCAGACCCTCAAAATATCCAGCAATTTTTCTCATTAGTACTGACCTCCTATTATAATACATTAATTTCCTTGATAATGATACAACTAAGTGGTGAACTGACATTTCCTCCATCAACAATTACTCTGGAATTAATGTTATCAAAAGTAGAAGGTTAGTTTTGCAATTGGTTGTCAGGTCTAATAGGTTAAAGGGTTAGAGTATCTTTGTCTCAGATTCTGAAACAAAATCCTGGATTTAGCTCATGCTGCAATAATAATTATAAACCTTTAGGTCAGTCAGCAACCCCATGACTTTTACAAACCGATCACCTGTCCGATTATCAAGATATTTAAGATTGGAAATCAAAATTTCAGAATTTGTTTTTATAATACTACAGTCTATTGGGGTCACTCAAAGATTTTTATTTTTATGCGGCACTTCATGATCACTTTATAGCGCAATTTTTTAAGGGCTTCAATATTACACCATATCACAGACATTGATAAAACGTAGGGCCATGCATCTCATATTTAACATTGTTAAATGATGCCTATCGGGGTCGGGTACTGAATAAAGTTGGGTCGGGTGTTGAAGTTAAATATTCTTCATATTTGTCCCCACAGATATAGGCAGCATCATGGACGTGGTGGAGCTGTCCCCCCTCCGCGGCTCTGTCTCCTGGACAGGCAAGCCAGTGTCTTACTTTCTACACACAATAGATAGAACGCTGGTAAGTGCACCCTCTCCATGTACGTGGCACCCACAACCAAAGTGCCTTCAGCTGTGTTCCCATTGTCTTAACAATTTTGAAAAAATATATCTGTTTATCAGGAATTCATTTAAAATTCAACAGGCCTTTGTTTTTCACAAAATTCATTTTTGTACACAGGATTTGAGCTTGAGATTTGACATCATTACAGTGCTACTCCTTATTTTGGCTTTGGAGGTAGTTTTGGTTATCAGTCTACTTTCTTTCAGCAATCTTTGAATCATCATTCAATTTTCTTTGTTATGTTATGAGAAATAGTGATGATAACATATATGTTTAGCCATGTCAGACTTAAAATTGTCCATGTTTCATGGATCCAAGAAATTGAATAGTGATGCTCAAATGATGGACTTTGTTAGAGAGAATCATCGCGAGCAACACCCTAAAACCTATGCGGAATGAGCAAGAAACCATTGGAGCACAGCTTATTTAGAGGTGTTGTGGTAAGTGGATACGTCTCCGGACTGTCGATCACAAGGTCCGCGGTTCGAGTCCCGCTGCGGCACTAATGTCCTTTGGCAAGACATTGATCTACATTTGCCACACTCAACCCAGGTGAGGTAAATGGGTACCTGGGGGGTGTTTCATAAAGCTGTTCGTAAAGTTACGCATGACTTTACGAACGACTTGTATATGAAAAGCCAAATGAGATGCTCAATCATTATCAATTTTTATTTATTAAGTTGAACTGTTGAGATGTAGATTAACATTCTTATTCTAACAAATATTTTTAAGGCAAAGCATATTTTTTGCAATAATTTAATTGAGGTTATTGGAAATATCAGGAAAAAATTTGGGTATCCTATCTGGCGCTTCATATACAAGTCGTTCGTAAAGTCATGCATAACTTTACGAACTCTTTATAAAACACCCCCCAGGTAGGATTATTCCTTGAAATGTACTGTGCGCTGATAACGGCTGCCGGAGCTAAAGCTAGGGTAATAATTACTTTAAGCTCTTTGGAAGCGCATAGGGATGTTATTTCATAACGTATTATGCACTTTACACGAACTGAACTATTATTATTATTACTATTATTTCTCACATGAAAAACGAGACCCAAGCATGGAGTACTTTAATATTAAGTCATTCCTGCTTCAGTATTACAGCCCTATCATTGCTGGGCACTTAATAGGTACACCAATGCTAAAGGGTTATAGAATCATACCCAATGTCCATCAAAAACCAAGGGTCCTTTTACAAGAACAGATTTATGCTCAAGATTCATAGCGGGGGTACTTATCCGGAAGCTTAGATTAACATCTACCTGTAGAGGTAGGTGGGTTCTGTTGTTACCGTCAACTACTATTCAAGCACATTAATGTGGATCAACGCCACTAGAAATGTGTATAGTGTGAAAGTAAAAGGGGATGAAGTGTGACCTGTAGTTCGAGGGAAATACAATCTTTTCTTGTCGTCACCTAATATTACACATTTAACAAATTAAGCATTAATTTTGATAATTATGTTCTAGTGGATTCAAGGCTTTTTAGAGCGCATGTTATTTTGAAAACAGTGGTGTATTTGGTACTGATGACAAATTGGGATGATTCTTTTTAGTCTGCAATTTTGATACACTCACCAAGATGTAGGCTTGCCTATAGATGGATTTGTATACCAAAATTATCACTCTTAACAAAATGTTCTAAAACGCCAATCACCAAGTAAATACAAAAATCTGCTTAGGCTCACCAAACTCTGATGAGAAATTATTTGATGAATATGATAGTGACAACACCTTGCTTACAAATGTTAAAGCCATACTGCACTACAAGCACTACCTCAAAACCCCCTCGGGTCAGTATGGTCCCGTAACTCGATGCTTCTCTAGCTGTGCTGTTGGTTCTTGCATCGAGTCCTCCATCTGTGAAGTGGAAATTAGGTATTGGGTAATGCATTGTTGGCAAGTCGACCATGAGGTGGCACTGTGCAATAAACTATGCTGCATTCAGTATCACTTAAACATAAGTTAGATATCTTTTTTGTTCATCACTCCTCTTACTGTGTCTCTGTTGTTTATTTTGATCCATGTCATCAACCACAGATTTTGATTAAAGATGTGTTCATACTTCAATTAGTGTCATGCTAACAACATTCAGGGAAGTGAAGAAATAAAATTAGGGACTATGTTTAATGGACCGTTGAGACATTTAGGTTGATTGATATTTCTTTTACTTTGAGAACAGGTGATCCAAAAGCCCTGTAATCCTATGTTTTTATAAATTGTAAATAGTGTTTTGAGATGCAACAGATGGTTTCATTTGAAGTTTACAGACATTGAAGGAAATTTTGGATTTGTTTTACTTAGTTTTACTGTAAAATGTGTTTAATAGATCAAAACCGGACAATGTTGCATGCCTGTATTTCTACCCTTAGTTACTATTTTGTCATGTCTTGGCTGTGCTCGTTCTCTTTCAGTATACTGTCTACAATTTGTCTGGACTTTTTAGAACCTGCCATTTCAAGTATTGGATCTTTACAGAAATTACATGTAGTAAATGAATTGCAGACTTTGTTTTATTTGTTTTTTATATCTCCATAACAAATCTAAATTAAAGTTACATCTTCGCTGAAAGTAGTCTTAAACGCTGTAATTGAAGGAAGATACGATATTATATAAATTCTTTTACAACCCTTTTTTTTTTCCATTTTAGTTTCAAAGTCATACCCTTGCATAAAATTATTCTATCTAATTATACTAAATAACATAACTAACACTTTTATTTCATAGAAATATATGGACATCACCCCCATCATGTTGATTTTATTGAATGGCTCATTTTACCCCCATCAGAGGGATTTATTGTTTGTTTATCTTCTTTATGTGTTATACAGCTGGAAAAATACTTTCAGACACTCAAGGATCCAAAACTCAGGGTAATTATTCTTATAATAAATCTTAATCATAAACACACTGGGAAAATAAATATGCGGATGAAGAAATAGATAATTTTGATGTACTTTGAATACTAACAATCAATTTGATGACTAAATATACAAATGTAAGATTTAAATCAATAGTAGTTTAACAGGAAATACAAACGTTATGTAGAGTAATGACTTAATGGGAAATTTGCTAAAAACAACAGAACTACCCATTTGATGTGTTCAAGTTATTTTGTTATTGAAATTTTTATTAATTTATATATTTATGTGACAAAATATTTTATTTTTTTCCAGTAGAGGAAAGAAAGATAAATCGACAGTAATTTATTCATTATTACCTGTTGAATTTCTGACTTGTTGGATTTTTAATAAACTTAATCAACTTCTCAGTTAATTTTCATTGCATAGTGATTTTTGCAAGCTAAGAATACTTCCCAGTTGGTATATAGAAGAAAACAATTTGAATGATTTGGTACCATTTATGCATGATTTTATACATTTTGATTTTCTCTTCCATCTCAAAGCAACATGGTCATTGCCTTTCTTTTTCTTTTGCAAAGCATGGGCATATTCATACATTCATCAAATAGATATCACATTCATTTGAACATTCACTATTCACAGATTATAATTATTTTATAGCGAAAGATTTCCTTGACTGACTTTAATCAGCCTTACATTTCTCTGGCATAATCACTAGCTGCCACTTCACATTACGATACTACTTCACATTACGATACTGAAGTTTTTCCTCATCTTCATGATGTATAATAATGATAATAATAATAATAATACATTTATAGAGCGCATAAACTATCCATCATATATTCTACTGCGCTACAAGAGCTCCTGATATTACAAGTAGATAAATCTATTTTGATAGCTTGTTTCAGATATCAGTTTATTTGCAGGCTTTAAACAGAAGGTCTTTTGAAGGTAAATTTAATCAACAGAGAACAATATGATGCGAAGATTTGTGACTTCACTTTGATATAATGTGAGATCCAGAAGTAAATGTCTTCTCTCCACAATGTATGATATAACAGAAAACGTGACAACATTAAGGGAGAATCAGTAAGTTTTATTTCAAAGATTCCTATTAAAGTGTTTTTTTTTTAATGGCTGTTTGAAGTCTTAAAGACTTTATGAGGTCAGTGTTCCAGAGATGAACTTGTATACTGAAACCCTGCCTGTCAACCTTTGTTTTTTTTTTGATTAGCCATTGAAAAGCATAAACATGATCTAAACTTCTTCTCGCTTCTTCTGGATTCTCTCTTGCAGGAAGAATACTACAAAAGCTGCGTTCGAGCAAAGCGCCCCAGGCGCAGTAACATTGACTACCTCGCTTCGAGATCCCTTGATCTCGGCAAGACTTCGAGCGACAGCGACTCGGCAGTCTATGGACCAACCACCCGTCGCCAGTGGTCGGAATGGATTGCTAATCGAGATGGAATGAAGGAGAACTATGATGAGATGATGGAGGATAGTGAGAAGATGGATCCGGTAAGACACTGTTTAGGTGTTCTACAGCAGATCCTGCAGATCACCTCTTCATTTTGTCTGAATCTTTTTTTTTTCTTTTTTATGCCTCCGTTACAAAGTAGCCGGAGGCATTATGTTTTCGGGTTGTCCGTCCGTCCCGTTCTTGTGATCGCGTTATCTGAAGAATCGATCAATGGATTCCTGCCAAACTTTGGTCATGTATGTATCTTGCAGAGCCGATGAACTGATTAGATTTTGGGGTCACGAGGTCAAAGGTCAAAGGTCACAGGGCTCATTAGGTATGCAAAAACAGCTCGTGATCGCGTTATCTGAAGAACCGATTGATGGATTCCTGCCAAACTTTGGTCATGTATGTATCTTGCAGAGCCAATGAACTGATTAGATTTTAGGGTCATGAGGTTAAAGGTCAAAGGTCACAGGGCTCATTATGTTTGCATAAACAGCTTGTGATCGCGTTATCTCAAGAACTGATTGATGGATTGCTGCCAAACTTTGGTCATGTATGTATCTTGCAGAGCCAATGAACTGATTAGATTTTGGGGTCACGAGGTCAAAGGTCAAAGGTCACAGGGCTCATTAGGTATGCAAAAACAGCTCATGATCGCGTTATCTGAAGAACCGATTGATGGATTCCTGCCAAACTTTGGTCATGTATGTATCTTGCAGAGCCAATGAACTGATTAGATTTTGGGGTCATCTGGTTAAAGGTCAAAGGTCACAGGGCTCATTATGTATGCATAAACAGCTTGTGATCGCGTTATCTCAAGAACCGATTGATGGATTGCTGCCAAACTTAGGTCATGTATGTTACTTGCAGAGCCGATGAACTGATTAGATTTAGTGGTCATGAGGTCAAAGGTCAAAGATCATGGGCTCATTATGTATGCAAAAATAGCTTGTGAACATTCTCATTAGAACTGACAGATGGATTACTATTTAACTCAGGACATCTTGCAGAGCCAATGAACTGAGTAGATTTTAGGGTCATGAGGTCAAAGATCAAAGGGTCATATATATGTATATGAGAAATTGCTTGTAATCACGATATTCTGAGAACCTGTCAATGGATTACAATTGAACTTGAATCCGAAAAATTTCTTTGTTTTGGTTTGTAAAATTGCTCTATGACAGAGGCATCATTTTCGACTGCGCGCTGTCGAATTCCATCTAGTTTTTTATCCTTTTGTTTTTTATGGTTTTCTTAAAAATGCAACACCTGATCTCCATCAAATTTGCTTTACTAATTCCTAATGTCCAGGATTAGAAAACCTCTCCCTCTCAGTGTAGGCAGTCGACCAGGATGGCATCTAGGCACCATTTTGTAAAATCATATTATCAAGCGTATCTTCATACCAGCCATCAAAACTTAACCAAATTTAGTACACATAAACTTCAGAGCCCTGTGTCACAAGGAGACTATAAACTTGTGATTAATTTTAAGGACATACGTTTGATTTGGACGGAGCCCAGGTCTAGGCACATAAACTTCAGGGCTAGGGTCAATATTCAGCAATAGTAATATCCACGCGCACGTCGTCATGTGTGCGTTTGCTCGCACCAACACATTAAAATTGTCTTAATCACTTCTTGACCCATCTAGAGTATGTTTCAATTTTACGATTTGAATATTTTCCGTCCGTGCATGTCAATACCGAAATCAGATATGCCACATGTGGGGCTTCTTGCAGGCAGTTAGGGGATGTGTGTCACAGTGGGAGAGTTGACCTACAGTCAGAAATATTTAATTCTTTCTCCTTTGTTCCTTGGACAGGATTCAGATGTATCCTCTCAAGCTTCAAGAAGGAAAAGGCGCAGGAATAAAGACAGCTCGGAAACGGTAACTTTCACTCGTTCTAAACTTGTACCGGGCCAGATGTTATCATTAAAAATGCTATTACTCTTTTTAAAAAATCCCAAATACATATTGGTTGATGTTATTATTGATAATGATATTCATGATGACAAAGAAGAATAAATTACAAATCTTTTCCTTAAAAACTTTCTTAAACTGTATTAATAGAACACTGTTTGTGTTTGTAGTACGGTACTCAAACTTGAAGTCTGTAGAAATCAGCCTTTTGCATATGATTTTTTTAAATAAAATTAAAGGATATTATAATTTTATGATTTGCCATTTTATTTGATTTTCAGTGAATGTGACCCATGTATTTTAGACTGCATGAAGATAACTAACAAAGAAAATGTGAAAATTAAGATTATTTACGATTTGTTTTGACAACTTCACATTGACAGCAAGTTGGTATTGATGATATCTTCCCTTGTTTTTATACATTCACATTAAAGTAGATGTATGCATCTTGTTTCTTCAATTTTGACAGTTCATCCTCCACAAACCCCAGAGTACCTTTTTATTTCTTCCCCTTTAACTAGGAAACTCCAATGCCCCCACCGCCTAAACCAGCTAAACAAAAGACAATCAAAATCCCTAAGAAAGAAGAAAAAAAGGTCAGACAAATTTGATTCTGTGTGTTTCATTCTTTTTCGAGTTCCATTCTAATCATGGATTTTTCTCCTTTTTTTTCTTTTTTTGGCTAACCCAAAATTTCATGTATGTACTACTTTTTACTGGTCTGTGATTTGGGAAATCTAATTTCTAAACTTATGAAATTTTAAAAAGCACTTTGATGTTGTTTGATAAATTATTACATTTACTTTCTCCCGCTTTTCCTGGACTGGCTCATCTTTGAAAATAGTTTGATGGAGGTGTGAAAGGGAAGGGGAAGAGGAGGGGTAGGGAGATGGGAGGGGAAGTGGGGGGGGGGGGGGTTCAAGGCCTTTTGCCTGAAAACCTACTTTGGGAAGAAAAACAAACTTTTTGCTTTTTTGTTGTTGTATTTTTGTGTTGGAGAAAAACATGAAGTACTTTACAAAGTCACAATGTGTAGTTTGGGTCAGATTTTTAAATTCATTTTTCATCCGAGCATGATTATTTTTTAATTTTGATGAATAATCAATGGAGATATCCTCCTTTTCTCACTATTTTCTCACCATATTGCAACTAATCTCATTTGGTTTCTTGAATTTAGCGATTATTCCCTCACATCTTGTAATTTCATTTTATTCTTACACATTTTAATGTTTAACACAGCTTTACATTTAATGTTGTGCTTGAATAAGATACCACCTTAAAATAATGTGAATCAGATTAAAGATTAGAGAGCTAGTTTTTATATAATTTTGTCCTCCAGGAAGGATGGAGACCTTTTTAGTTTGGTTGTAAAAAATGTAATCCATGATTCATTAACTGCCTAGCATGACTGGCTGTGAATGATATACATAGAAGACACATTCATGCAATGCCTGATAGCAGCAATCTATTCACATTATACTTACATTGTTGCATGTGAATGTGTTAAGTGCTGGCCACATATAAACGATTTGATTACGATAAATTGCTGCTGTATGACCAGCCCTCTATTAAAAGATTTTCCTAGAAGCTAACAATGGATTATTCTTCTAAAGTTGTGACCATAAACCATTTGCAAGCTTCACTAATTGTCATAACTTTAAATACCTTCAACCTTAAAAAAATGACATGATTTAAAATATTTGGAACAACCCCCTCTTCAAAGTAAGTTTTGGAAATGGTTGACCTTACTCTATTTCTCTTTTGATGAATGATCTGATCCTTACATATTGGTACCCAATTCATTGTTGTGTGTTTGCAGTTTGTGAGGTGATTTTAACCCAAAGAGCATTGCAGGGATCCTTTTCATGGAAGAATTATTGCCAACCTAAAGTGGCATATATACTTCCAGATTCCTTGTGTTTATGTGCACATGTAGTATTAAGTAGGGCGCTTTCACAAAGACGACGGTAACGCGAGCGAAAAAACAACCTGCGCATGCACGAACCCCAATTTTCTCTGTCTGGTTGATTTTCACGACCGTACAAGGCCATGATAGCATTCGTTCCCTAAACACAACAGAAGACCTGTATCGCCGTAATTCTCCCGTCGTCTTTAATAATAATAATAATAATAATAATAATCTGTGTTTTTATATAGCGCTCAATACATCGATCCAACGATGTGCCTAAGCGCTTTACAGTTATATTATTACCCCGGTCATCGGATTCAGGCTTACCCGCACACAATGTGTGCACATTTTCCACTCCCTGTCTTTGCTTCCGTTGTGTTTGCGAAAGCGCTCTAATGTCAATCAAGAATGACTCTGCTAAAGTGTGACATCGTACTGACCAAGATGCCAAGGTTGCTGGTTCCAAACAATGTTGTGCTATATAAACAAAGGTGTTAGGATCACACCAACTCCAAACATTGAATTCACCCTGCTTCAATGATTTTATGGTGAACAGGCATTTGTTGTTTAGTAACCTGGATGATGAGCGAATATGATGTTAGCACTTCGGTACTCTATAACAATGGTTATCTATACCAGTGACCAATAAGACAACGGAAAAGACAAGATTTTGATCCTGTGGTCCGATTTAGACATTAATGGTCATACCATCTCATCCCTATAATCATTGTGTATATTCCGGTCATCAGCATACTCTGGTTATTTCATACTGTGTTTCAAAATTAAAGTTTAAGAAGGAATCCCTACCGTAAATAGATTGCTAAACAAATCTACATGTAAAAACATAATTTCTTCATTCTATAGATTCTTGAAATACAAAGCAAGAAGTTACTTGTGTCACTTTTATCTAGAGGAATTGACATTCTATTTAGGTATTGATCCATCACGAACCCTCTTGACCATCTTACACTAAGACAACCAATTGTGACATCTGATTCCTTTCAGCAACTGGCGTACAGGACATAACTTTGTCGAGGTGGCAATTTCAAACACCAACAACAAGCTATCACCTATGTTCAGAATCTCTTTGTAAAGCAGTTTGAGATCAATTTTGCTGAATTCAACCTCTTTTTATTTTTTTTCTCTTACAACATTTTGTGAGTCACCTTCTTTGTATTGACTATTTAAAAAAATATGTTTGACAACTTACTCAAATTTTGTTTTGCATGATCTCTTTCAAGTAGTTTGCACCATTCTGCTACTAAACAGGTTTTCAAGACCATACCTTGATACAGTCAAACCTGCTTTAGTGACCACCTTTCTACAAAGACCACCTGTCTACAAGGACCACCTCTTTTGTTTCCCTTGAAAATGGTTTCTCATTGAAACATGTAGTAAAGGAACCTGTCTACAAAGACCACTTATTGTGTTTCCCTTGGACGGTCGCTGTAGGCAGGTTTGACTGTATTTACTTCATTCTAACTGTCTCTGTCATTTTGATATTGTAGGACTCCTCATTGAGAGGCAGAGGCAGACCAAAGAAGGCGGACAATGTGATGAGTCGTAGGGCCCGGGATGAACTCAAGAAATCAGCTGCATTAGGGATGGATCTTCTGCATCAACACACAGTTTCGCTCAGTCAGTCACCCCCAGATAAGAGTAATGGTGAGTCCTTGGAGCAATTAAGGAGGCAGTCACACTCTGAAAGGGATCCAGTATCTTTGTCTCAGATTCTGAAACAAAATCATGGATTTAGCTCATGCTGCAATGATAATTATAACCTTGAGGTCAGTCAGGAACCCCATGACTTTTACAAGCCAATCGCCTGTCTGATTATCAAGATATTTATGATTGAGAAATTGAAACCAAATTTTGTGTTTTTCCTAATGGTTTTCATAACACTACAGTCCATTGGGGAAAACGAGTAGGGTAAAAACATGTTCAATCAATGTTTACTGAAGGAAAAAAAAAAAGTAGCTTTGACACGTATGGACATACTAAATATTTATCTCTAACTTTTCATCTTGAAATTCCCCCTTATATGTACAAAATTATTAACATTTACATTTTCTTTTTAACTGTTTATAATTGTTTGTAATTCAAAAACTATTCTCCTGTAGTATATTTGATGATGTATTTAAGATGTGTATTAAAGTCATACAAGTTACCTTTTTTAGAACTTGTAACACTACCAACTATCCACAATTCATTTTGTCTTCTAGCTAAGGAAACCATTTCAGTAATTTTGCTAGTAATCTTGATCTTCCACAGCACGGTACATATATCTGCACAACCTCAAAGTATGAAGATACATCAACAGCATGGTGGCCTGTACTTCAACAGAAGAAGAAGAAGACTATTTTATTACAAAATCTTTTGTTGTTTTGCAGGTATGTTGAATAACCTTGGGATGTCCTTTAACCTAGCAAGCATGGTGACCCCAGTCAAAGAGAAATCCAGGCCCAAATCTAGAGAGAGGAAACCGAGTCATCGTCAGAAGAAGGACCTAGAGGCGTCCATTCAGTGGCTTGTTGGTGAGTTGTATGTGATTGTGATTAAATGGATTCTACTTGAGTCGTACTTGGCGAATAGATATCAGAAGATCAAAATAGATGATGTGATCTCTGATGATTTCCCAGTGCCTTTTGGAGTTCCACAAGGTTCACGGCTGGGTCCATTGTTATTTACTCTGTACACTGCTAATCTCGTTTCATATGTTCAAATGAATTTTATTATTGATGGAAAGACCAAGCCGTTCATCATCCTTCAGAAGATATTTACCTGCTTTGCTTTGATCAGTAATGCTTAGGTTGCTTTCCTCGCCTCTCAGCACAGTCGCTTGTTTACCTCATGTGCAGTTTAGTACAAAAGAAGAAGCACCATTAACCTGGAAGATTGCTTTGTGCAACACAATGGCTTTGAAGAATTACCCATTTCTGGTCCTGATTAGCTCCATGAAAACTCTTTTAATATCAGTAATATCAGTACAGCATAATCTTGCACTGAAACAAATAATCGTGAAGCCTTTTGTATATCTATCCCGTGATAAATACAATGCGGCACAGGGAGATTATTTGTGTGGCATATCACTCAAGAGTTGATGAGCAATCGAGACCATTTCACCGCACAAAACAAACAAACAAACAAACAAACAAGCGACAATTAAATGAAGGCAGTATGTAATGAGATAAGTGTGGCCAATAAAGAGAGAGAGAGATAGAGAGAGGAAACCGAGTCATCGTCAGAAGGACTAAGAGCCATCCATTCAGTGGCTTTCGGGTGAGGCCTTCACCTTACTAATAGCCCATTCAGACATGAGGCAGTACACTGATTAAAACATAAAGAAGTTAATTGGACAGAAAAGAAGAAAAAAACCTACAGAAATGACAGAGAAACTGGCAGATATCCGTAATCATCCATTTCATATCATTTGCCTTGCTTATATATTTGTCTGTGATTGCTTAATCATCTTTTTGTCTTTTTACTTTTTTTGACAGATGACTATAAAATGCAATTGCTGCAATTTCTATCCTACATGAAGACTCCTCCATACACTGACCTAGTGAGGAAACAATTGGAAGAAGAAAAGGTAGGTTACAAGAACAGAGCTGCCAACCAGTATGATATTATCGTATTTCGTACAATTTTTAGAAGTAAATATGAAAATTTGAATGTGTAGTTAGTGTGTGTGTGTGCCATTTCAAATTGCCCATTCTCTCCTGTAAAGTAGCGTTTCACATCGGCAATTTGGGTCTGTTCATTGGTTCATCGAACACACCAGTCATGACAAAATCATGCATATCCAACCAATGGTCCATAAAAAAAAGAAATACAAGCTGCTCATCACATGGTTCATTGAATGGTGATTCATGACAAACTCTTGCATATTCAACAAAATGTAAGATAATTACCATATTTTTTTCTGATTTGTTTTCTTCCCAATTTTACACCTGTTTTTCCTATTTTTTCCCAATTTCTCCCCAATTTTCTTACTTAAAAAGGAAAGAATGTTGTTAGATACCATTTTTTCCCTGAATGCTATTTTTTTTTACTCAAGGGGGGGGGGGGGGGGTGTTGAGGAAAGTGCTCACTATCACCCTTGATTTTACTGATATAAAAACTTCCATGATTTTTCTTGCTTTTTCAGTTGTACAATGAACAGCTGAACCTGAAGCGTGGTCTCCTAGAGGATCAGATCTCCATGCTGTCCAAGGAGGGTGTACGACTGCTCAACCAGCAGCTAGACAAGCTAGGCATCCAGGCCAAGTCACCGTCAGAGCTGGTGGCCAAGTCTAGGGAGATCGTAGGCAAGCACCGGGAGCTGCAGGAGAGGTACCAGTCTCTCACGACCAACATGCAGCTCCTTGAAGCAGACAATAGGAAACTAGTGAGTGACACTGACTTGCGTTTCAGTAATTCAAGCGCTTCAGATTAATTCTGAATGTGACTAGAATGCAAAGTAGAAAGTCAAACAGATTATATTCACTGGGCTGCTCTGTTTTGAACTAAATGAACTAAAAACGTTTTCCTCTTCAAAATCTTCAAAATCCTTTTCAGGGGTTGTCTTATCTCTATAGCCAGGCAGCAACTAACTTGTAACATAAAATCATATAAAGCTGTTAATAAATATGTTAAGTTCTTCTTCCATTTTTGACAAATTTCTGCACACGTCATTTGTGATATTAAGAGGATGGCAGGGAAATGATGGTATATCAAGGAGACCACAGATATTCTAACATGCAGTTACGGGTAAGAAGTTTGTTAGACACAGTTCGAGGGTTCAGTGACTCAATGACGTAACTTCATATTTTGCCCAAATGAGTATTTGATATCAAAATGTTCAGAAAATGTGGGCTTTCCAGGAAACACAAAGACTTAACTCCACCCAACACCCCATTGAAGTCAATGGCTAGTGAAACATAGACTTAACTCCTTACGGCCCAAGTGCTCAGTGACACATAAACCACTTTTTCTCAAAATGGAGTAACGTCTTTGTGTCACTGACCCCTCGTATAGAATTTCATAATGCTTGGATTTTATCAGACTAATTAATATGTGTGCAACCCTGTTAACCCTACAGGTGGAGACTCGTAATCAAGAGGTTGTGACCCAGCTGCTGGGGCACAGTGGGAAGTGGGATAACAGTGACAGTGCTAGTAACGCCAAGGCAGCTTCTCTCATTACAGAGCAGATCATCCAGGAGTTCAGTAACCAACAAGAACTCAAGAGACAGGTAAGTTCTATGTGATTGTGATGGAAAAACCAAGCCATTCATCATTTTTCAGGAGATTATCACCTGCCTTGCTTTTGTGATTGTGATTAAATGGTTAGAGTCGTACTTGGCGAATAGATATCAAAAGATCAAAATACACGATGTGATTTCTGATGATTTCCAAGTGCCTTTTGAAGTTCCACAAGGTTCTCGGCTGGGTCCTTTGTTATTTACTCTGATGATTTCGCAGTGCCTTTTGGAGTTCCACAAGGTTCTCGGCTGGGTCCTTTGTTATTTTACTCTGTACACTGCTAATCTTATTTCAAACGTTCAAACAAATTTTATTATTGATGGAAAGACCAAGCCATTCATCATCATTCAGGAGATTATCACCTGCTCTGCTTTTTTTTAAAACACAAAAATACAAACAGAGATGCTATGTTAATGAAAAGGGGGTCTTGGTTTGGTTCTGAATGGAGATATCATTCAAAGATTTTAAGACATTAATCTCCGTACTGCATGTAGAGTATGTATTTTGGAAAGTTATTTTGCTAAGAACTCCTGAAGTAGTCCGTGAAAGTCAGCATTATGCTAATTAGAATATCATATTTGCTATCAGTCTTGGCAATATTCAACTTTATCACAGTTATGAGAAAATGGAAATATGTAGATGTGTTACTAACCTATTATGAATTACCAGATTATGCTCAGACAAACCTTGGTCTGAAACGCGTCAAAACGTGTCATATTACGCACATAAACCTAGGTTTGTCTACAAACCTTCTTTGTGAATTCGGGCCACTGAGTCGGGCCTTTACACAGTCCAAAAAGAGTGCAAAATTTGGAATGATTTATAGACCCTGACCAATAATCAGCATCACTCAGATTTTGTAATTTGATGCATTTTTCTATTGCTTTCTCCTCTGCAGGTCCAGAAGTTGGAGTTTGAAGTCACTACACTAGAAAAGATTGGCGAAACCACCAAGAAACCAGAAAAGGCAGCAAAGAAAAAGCGTCGCAACAAGGGCTCTGAGAAGAGTCGTAAGATCAAAGACATTGTAGGACCTCCTGTTTCACCTCCAGCAATAAAGGAGGATACTCTTAAGCATGAGAGACTATCTGGGAGCTACTCAAGCAGTCCAGTACACTCCAAGTCATGGCTTGGCGAGGGTACACCAGGGACCCATAAATCACCTAGAGCTTTCCAAGGTGGGCCAGGGGAAGGGGAACATTCCTACATGTCACCTGGCAAAGTGGCACTGCAGAGGAAACTCTCCAATTCAATGGAAAGCAGTCCAATGGCGCTGAGAGACGACAAAGGGAAGGAGTTTGCAAGTGATGTTGGACAATTGATGTTGAATGCCCACAAGCAGATGCAGCAGACGCAGAAAGGATATTCTGGCAAAGTTGAACCAGTACATTCCTCTGCGCTGCATGTTGTGACGAGTTCAGTCGCAGGAGGTCTCCAAGAAGGTCCGATGATGCACACCTCAATGGCATCCCTTGGATCCAGGGACGGAGTCCCCACTGCTACATCAAGTGCTGGAGTACACCATCTTTTGCAGTCCTGCATGATTAGTCCGCTAGAAATGAAGCACTCGGGTCTCTATCGCTTCATGCCTGCAGCCCAGGTCAGTAAGGTCCTCAACAGTTCTCTAGACACAAGTGAGCCTCCACTTAGTCCTCAGAATGTGACTCTTTACCCTCCTGCATCTGGACATCCACCAGACCCCAGGCAGGATCTGACTGCAAGTAGCAAGGTGGATACTCCTACCCTATCATCCCTTGCCATGAGTCATCCTACGCTTGGCAGGAATGTCACTGATGCCGACAGTGGACGTAGCTCTGATGCGTCCTCGTCCAAAGAAGAACTCACCAAGATATCCTCAGCCAGTGAGGCAGCAAACACCCCCACCTCAACATCCTCCAAGAAAACAGAATCAAACAAAGCTAAGAAGAGTCGCAAGCGTCCTGTCCCAACATCAGCTGCTGAGCAGAACATCCCTTCAAAGGTGGCTGTGACGGAGAAATGCAATCAGCCAAGCCAAGTGGGCGGAGCTATGACTGAAACACAGGACATTATTACCATGGTGACCAATGTTAATCAACCTTTAAAGATTAGTGCAATCCCATCCCCTGAGGGAGCTATAGCTGGGCAGACGGGTAGAGAGAGTGTACCGATATCACAGGCAGAGAATTCAGGTGAGAACAAATTTCTCTTTGGATATTGTCGCTTTTTCTGTCAATTACAGATCTAGGGATGAAGTTTTCATTCTAAATGAACTGTTAGAAATTAATTCTAGTTCAGTTAGGAATTTAGTTATGTCATTAACATGGTTGTTACATATTAATTTGATACTGATTATAATGAAAGGAGCGAATAAAATATAACTGGTTGCCAGTCATCAATTCCTTTATTAATACATTTTGGTTGTAATTATTTATAATTTATTGGAACTTTAGTGTTTTATCCTTTGGATAAGCTCTCATAGATACTTACCTGTCAAACATGAATAATTGCCCAGTAAAAAAATTTAATTAAACAAATTAAATGTGTTTTTCTAATCAGTATATGATTTTTAATGATGAATAATATGGGTTAGTTCCTATTTTCAAGTAATATTTTGTTTTCTCTCCCCCCCCCCCCTCTTCACATCCAGGGGAAAAATCAAATACAAATTCAGATCCTGAAACCTCCAATGTGAGAGAGTCCCCCAACACCAAAAAGCTACAGGCAAACATCAGTAGCAAGATAGATGCCCTTGCAGCATTCGCTTCATCTCAGTTGGATCGCAGCAAGCAGATCCGTCGTCAGAGTGCAGGCAACAGCCCAGGAGACATTCATGGTTCCTGGGACACCCACAATCCTAGTCAGATGCCTGCTGGTAGCCGATACATGCCTACCCTGCATGAGTCGCAGGCTGGTGTCAGACCAGCGGCAGCAGGGCCTCACGATCTACTTTCTGCACAGCTGAGCAACGCTGGACTGGCGTGTGCTACCTCAATACACGGCATGACTCCCGCAGCACCCAATCCCTGGCAGATGGCCTATATGAACAAAATCCAGGGTTCTGATGAAGCAGGAGCTAATAGTGGAAAAAGGGAACAGAAGGAGAAGAAATCGGAAGCCAAATCGGCCAATGAGCCAACAATGTTCGTGAGTGGACACTACACACCCAAAGGCAAGAAGCCTATCCCTGTGAAGCTATCTCCCAAACCTCTAGAACAAGACCCCTCTGGGGATGAGCTAGTTCCTCCAAAGACCCCTGGAAAGGATTTTGAAGAAGAAAACATTTTTAGTTCATCAAGCTTAAAACAAGGCAGCACTGTTAGTAATTCTAGTAGTAGTTCATCAACAAGCACTAAGACTGAGGTAATGACGGTTGTAGCCAAGCGTAATACAGTTCCACCACAGGAGGACACTAGTTATACAGATGTTCAGTTCCATAAGAAATTCTCTCGTAAGGGGAACAGATGGAACTGCAAACCCTCCTCCTCTCTGAATGTTCCTGGTCAGGAAGCACAAAGTAAGAAGCATAGTGCAGTTGGATCATCAACACAGAAGAAAGAGGGCGAAGGACAGAAAGGCAAGACACAATCCCCAGTGCCGACTGTTGTTCTGCAGAGACCTCCTGTTCATGATCCACCCAAGCTAGCCATTAAGCAACAACATTCCAGTCATTACCATTCTAAAGGCTCCTCATCTACAACCTCCAGCTCTGCAGTGTCCAGTCAGCAGGGAACTAAGTACAGCAGCAGTAGTAACCATGGCAAGCATGACCCTAACCTTGGGCCATTCATAGAGCTTAGGTCTGCAGGCTTAAAGCAGGTTCCTAACCCACCACCAGGTGGTGCACCCATTACTACGCAACAGACCCTTCTAACAACGTCTGCCGGCACCCAACGCTTCACCGGTGGCACCTACTACACCAGTGCCCTGGCATCTTCTGGCATCCACCCCCAAGCAGACCTACTAGACCGCTCCCAGAATCGAGGCAGTGGTGGTAGCCAATCCCACTCCAGCCTGCAGTCGTCGACCGAGAGCTACCGATCTCCCTTCTCCACCCCTCCTCCGCCCCCCAGCTCCCGAGGAACGCCCTCCTCCAGCGACTCGACCCACTCTGACAGCCATGGCTCAATGCGTGCCACGCCCCCGTCCCATGGGGCTCGGTCTCTCCCCCCTACCATGTCGCCCCTACCCAGCTCAGTGCCCCTTCCTGGAGGGTATGCAATGAACGGTGTGATGCCCCAGTATGCAGTGAACCAGCAGACGGGCGATCTAGGCATGCCCACCTATCTCCCAAACACTGGGAATTACATGCCGGTGACCCATTCAGGCCACGGACCAAGCTACCTCATGCAGTATGGAACACCAAGATAAATTTATGGTAAGACTTTTAGGGCTGGGACTACAAACTAGGTGCCTGGGTCCCAGGTTAAACAATTAGAAACCTGTTTCCTGAAATTGGATGGCAATGAAAAATTTGCCCCTTTAGGCCTTAAAGGTACTATGTCCCATTTGCAGGCCAAAAAAACGAAAAAGTTAAATTCCAACTGCATTTGAAAGATAATACTAATTTAGAACTTCCCTAAAAAAGGTGGGGCTTCAAGTGGGAAAATAACGACTATTAGTTGTCAAATTGACTTTAGGGCTATAGAGCCCAAAAGTAATAGTCTTGATTTTCAGACAATTGTACCGAATGGTCATACGTTTTATGCTGCGCAAAGATTCAATCAATTTAATCTTGGCCATCACAAGAAGTGGGTTATTGATGTAGACAAATGCTCATGTACCCTTTACAACTGTTTTCATGTGTGTTATTACCAAAGAAGAAAAAAAAGTCAGTCAGTCACTCAATAGTGTCTGACAGTGAAGTCTAGCAACTAAACAGGTTTCCTTGCATAATTTGAATATGAGGACACTGCCAACGTTTAAATTTCACAGATAGGACATACATGACATATTCATAATTCCTGCAAAGTCCTACAGAATTTGAGGTTGGCTGCAAAAGGGACATAGTACCTTTAAAAGTGGTCTGTTTTATCAATCAAATACATTAACACATGTATATTTCAGCTCAGAACGGTATATTCTCCAATTTGAAAAAAGAATTCAGTAGTCCTAGAAATGCAACATAAATTGTAATATTCAAGGAGTTACTGGGTCTATTTTTATTGAAAGGGGCCTGCTGCACATATCTAATCACTGTGCTCGTATCCACTGTTATACTGCTCTTTACCTCAGAGAGCAGTAGAGTGGATTCTGGCTTCCTGATCAACAAAAACAGTACATGTGCACAAACTTCGCAGCAGGAGATAATATATGTATAATATATTATACTATAACTTCTGGAAATTCTGAACCACACTGATCACGTTTTTTGATCTTTTTTGGATTGTATTGAAACAGGGACAGAATCAATGATGAATCTGTATTAAACATGAAATATAATCTAGCAGTTCTTATTTTTGGGATAATGTAAATTATATTGTTATTACATGTAAAAATATAGGGTCCTGTACACCTAATTAAATTTCCATATTTATGCTGATATTAATTTCATTTGATTCTCCACTTCTGATTTTGCAGGGCTCACCCCTCGAATTGAAATGGAATCATCAGTACTATTGACAGCAATTCTCAACCTTGCCACTTGTGTGACATATAAGCACTCTGCGAGTGATTGATTCTACCACTGCGTCGGTAGGGGAGACAGAGTGCAAATAACTGAGAGGGAAGTAACCTAGTTGAAATAGGACTTGTATGTTATGATACAAGTAGTGTAGTGTACATACAAAAAAAAGTTTCTTTACTGCCATTATACTACATGACTCTCAACCAGTCTTCAAATCGCCTAAAGGTGAGAAATAGAGAGAAACTTTAGCTTTTCTTATGTTTACATGTCTCATATTTTGGGACAAATTGTCTTAATTCAGTCGATACCTAATGCCAGTGGAACAGGCAATGAATTTTTCATTTCTGATCAGTTTTGTATCGTCTCCTCAGTTCTGAAAATTTTATATTTCTTTAGCATTTACGTAGTTGTCAAAGATGCATCGAAATATGACAAATATATTGCAATCAAAGCATTATCAATGTTTATTATTGATGCTTTGAAGTAAGAAAACGTGGGTGTAGTATGGAAATGTGTATGCTGTGAATCCGCATAAGGTGATAGAAATATGATACGGTGAAGTTTGTTAGTCAAACGCAAGCTTTGTTTGAAGCTTCAGATAGCCAAGCAAGGGTCCCTGTGTGTAATTAATTTTCAGTGATAGGATACTAGTTGTCAAGACATGCCATATTGGCAGAAGAAAAATGTGAACAAAAAAATCAATGCAGGGTAACATTTATGAGTTCAATATGTCTAATCTAGAAACATAGCAAGGATGCTATGTAGTGACCTCACGTGATAACAATCTATCTTCATTAGTGCATGTGATACATTGTGCCTAATGAAGCTAATTCATAGTTTATAGATTTACCAGTCGACCAATCCGCTGTCGTCGTTCATAAAAGTGCAGACACATGTTACATTTGTTTTGTTGGGTACTCTGCTGGTAAAACTAATCCATAATCTTTTGCATTTGATGTTACAGTATCTGCATATCAGCAACTGTGTACCTGTGAAGTAGCAATGGTTACCCTCATTTTTGTATGTACTTTCTTTAATTCTTATAAAAATTGTATTTCTTTATTTCTTATGCATATTGATTTGATCCTCTGTGGCTGCAGGTAATTTATTTTTGGCTGCTTGAGAGCTATTGTCGTCTTCCATGATGCGTATTGTATGTTCCTGACAATTATTTGTGATACATGTAGCTGCTTTGAATTTGTGTGCATTAACAACTTTTAGGTGTATTTGGGGCGTACTTTCTATGAAGGATTGGTTGGGCAGGTATGTGGTAGGGAATGTCATTAAGTCATCCATTTTTAATTTGTTTATCATTATCTATGAAAGCTGGTGTGTGCCAATCCTGTTTCAAATCAAATGCATAACATAGGTATGACAAAATTCCCTCAAACACTAGTATTACAATTATTGTAGAAAAAAGACAGTAGACCCTTATTAAATCCTATATTCACAGTGAAAATCAGCTAGCCTACAACCATTAAACAGTTTTTTGTTAGATGGACTAAGAAAGGATTTGAAATATCCATTTTTGTTTGAAATCGAATTCAAAGTAAGTACAATGTCAAGTTATATGGTGTGGAATATATTCAGGTTTTCTTTTTGGTAATATTTGTGTAATACTGCTTCCTATTAGTGTCTATTTGTTACAGACCTCTTCATTTTTTTGTTTAAATCTAAGAACAACCTCGAAGATTATATATTGTACAACTTCAGGAATGAATCAATGACCAAATAAAAACCGGAATAGGCTGGAATTTACACCTTTGTCTCATCCGCACCATGGTTTTGGTCAAGTAGAAAGTTTGATAGATTTCAAAACTCAAGTTCATTTCCTTTCTCACGACACTGATGTCTAAATTTGATACTTCATGATGATGTCCTTGATAATTTGTAATTATCAATCATTTTGTAGATAAACTATGCCAACGTGTCATGGAAATTTTGCTCTTTGTCTCGTTAGTTGAATATATCAATGTTTTAAAATCTCAGAAAGGGAGGTTTTCTCTCAGGTAACTATTCACATGGAGATGCTGCAAACTAGCACTTAGAAAGTAGCAGAAATGTAATTATTAAAAGCCTCAAGTACGTTTAGATACTGTATTAGAATGCCTGTAGGTTTGTATAAATGCTGTTCACTGCCAATATGCCAGCAATATAGAAATTTTGATGGAAAAAAAAAATACATAATGGAGTATCGGATGTATGATAAAAAAATCCTTGCTTTATTCCAGGTAATGTTTGAAAGCCCTTATGTTATCTGTATATTGGAATACATTTTTGTTGTGGTTTACGAGTATGATAGCGAATATCTTGGGAAATGTCATGGGGCGGTCATACCCAGTCTATTTCAAAACAGGGACCAACTTTCGGTGACATAACTTCATCCTTAATTCTTACCTCTTACTTTAGTCTTTTTATTACAAGTCTGGAATAGGTGTTGGCAATTTCCTGAATACTGGCCATAGTAATATATCATCCAATGAGGGTCAAAAGGACTTGAATTCTCTGTTTTAAAGTGACTCGGTAACATTGCCTCATATTCTAAAACAAAATCCTGGATTTAGCTCATGCTGCAATCACTATTATAAACCTTTAGGTCAGTCAGGAATCCCATGAGATGATGTCATCGAGCCGACTTTCAAAGCTTTAGATTTTGAGCTTTCAGAGAGCTGTTACTCTTCTGACAGACACTAAAATAGCATATAATTAATATAATTGTTATCTTTAGCTTACAAGCTTTCCATTGATATATAAATCATCTACTTCATTTTTAACTTCAGACAGGGTCTATAATGCTCTCCTGGCTCGTAAATGACAATATTTTAGGAGTCTTGAAATCAAAATGCTGCTCTATAACGTTGGTACATCTAACCCTTGAACAATGATAAAATGCAGTAATATTGGAAAAGATGTGATATACCTCTCAAAGAACCGATTCTAGTAACCTGTACTTCAATAGACTATTTTTCGCTATGTAATCAAATTCAATGCATACATCTTTGTTGAATGCCATGTTACAAACTATTTCATTCACCTGTTACAAATATTTGTATTTCAATAGATGGAATTTTAAATGCATGCACTCACTGTTGCTAGGTAGGACAAACATTGTGGCTTGTCCATCCTAACAGCGCGGAATGTATGCAATTTGTATTCTGACTATTTGACAAAAAATATTTGTATAAGTGGGAATGAAATTATTTGTAGCAAGGCACTTAACAATGAGTGAATTTAATTTGATTACAGTAAGAAATGGCCTATTGATTTTGATTTATTAGTCGCCTGCCGAGAGCCACAGAAGTTTAACTTTGTAAAATAACATACTGTCAATAATTTGATGCCCTTCTAGCTCTCTGCAGTTGTTACAGTGTCTCTACATTTTATTTTCTAAAGAAATCACATTATTTAGATTGATTGATATCACCTGTTTTCATTGAAAGCAATTTTGCTGAAAGTTTTAACCTCTTCCCAATTAGGTTCTTTGGACCAGGGTTTTTGTCTTAAAATTTGCTTTATTCGTGATGGTGCTAAATAGTAATTTTTTCAAATTTGTATTTCAGTGAGGTAATTGTTGTTAGTTTATTTGTTTTTGTAATTTTGCAAGCTGTACCCATATTGAATGTTAAATCAATATTTGGGCTAAATTGTATATTTGAAGAAAAGAAAAGCAGGAAATAATTTGTTTTGAGTGTAAATAGAGTGCTTGGCACCTGCATTTTTTTCTTCTTCCAGATGCTCTTGCACATTTTTCTTTTCTTATTTTAGGTATTAGATTTGATGAATTAGATTCCCCCCCCCAAGTTTGACTGATTATCCTATAATAGAAAGGTTATAAGAGTAACGTGTGAAAAACCACTAGAATTCAATTCATAGGCATTTTTGTAACTCATCTTATCAAATGGCAACACTTTGCTTTATATATTTTGTTGGTTATCTTCAAATGAGCAATTTTTCAGATGTATAACAATTTATATATCCAGGTCAAAGTTTTAACTGCCCATATTCTACCCCCTCCCCCATCCCTCTGCTCAAAGCCACCAATTGTGATATTTAAAGCCACTATTGTGATATTTAAAGCCACCATTGTGATATTTAAAGCCACTATTGTAATATTTAAAGCCACCATTGTGATATTTAAAGCCATACTGTACTAAAAGCACTACCGGGGAATCCCCTTTTAGCGCCATCTCGGGTCGGCTTTCGCAGTATGGTTCTATATCTTGCTGCTCCCCTAGCTGTGCCGTTGGTTCTCGTATCGAGTCCTCCGTCTGCGAAGTGGGAATTATGTATTGGATTACGCACTGTTGGCAAGTTGACCATGAGATGGCGCTGTGCAATAAACTACACTAGGGCAGAAAGTTCATCAGTTCAGTATCGCTTCAATTGTATACCTACCGGTATATACCAAACGATCTACATTGTAGTTATACAATATAGACCTTGTGTGTGTGAATCTATCAGTGCTGCAATTGATTGGCATATCATAATCAAACCAGATTTCTTCTCAGTTGTATACATTATTCTCTCTACAGTTGTGATTTCTGTAATTTAACTTGTGATTTTATCTCTCTTATTGAGTCAAATGTTAGATAAATGTAGGCAAACATTAATGTGCCGTTTTACTCTTAACTAGAATAAGGATAGCACAAGCTCATAGGGTTATGCTGCAGATAAACTTCAGTAGTACATGTAGGCCTACATGTATGTTCCTGATCGACAGTTACTAATTGAACTCCCATTTTATTTCTTTGTTAGCCTATGACGTTGCGTATTCTTGTGAGAGGTGAATTTTTATCTTTCATCTTTCTCCAAAATGAACAATTTTCTTTTGTCTGTATCATATATGTACAGTACATGTTTATACATGTGCAGGATGCATGTTTGATTTGTGAATCCAATCATAACACCCTTATCAGTATTATGTGATATCAAGACTGAATCAAGTTGAATCTGATGTAAATAATGCAATAGTAACAATAGGAAGAAATTCCTTGAATGCTTGAGCGCCTTTTCATGGCAGCTCGGCTAAAGCTGCAGTAATAATATGATTGCAAGGCCTTAGGGAGAACAGTATCAATACTGGTGAGGCTACCCTGGGTAAACAAGACATATTATTAGAAGTAAAAGTAACCATTGATTTGTAACGAAGAGTCCCTACGTTTTGTTTGAGGTTTCGCCAATGTTTTGTTAAAATATAATGTTGTTAAATAAACTTGAAATACTCTTGGTGCTTACTACAAAGATACTACAAAGATGAAGAAAAGATGAGTTGAAATATCATTTGAACCCCTTCCAACCTCTGAATAACATTTCCCAATAAATATTTTTTGAAAGATTTGTCGTAGCCGTAAGAATAGTCCATATTGCTGCCCCATAAGCACAAATCTGTTACATGGACACGACATGCATACATTATAGGTCTACATGGCACATATCGTCGCTGTTTTCACAAAGTGACGGTAGTGAAAAAAAATTGCATTCACTTTGCGTGACGGTTTTCCTCACTACCGTCACTTCGTGAAAACAAGGACGATATGAGTGTATATCATATTCACTATTGTATAGTACATAATATTGCATCATGGTTACTGCAATAGTTACCATTCTATCGATATGACGTACTGCATACTCGTAACTTTTTTGTCAGTTTAAAATATAAGTGTCGTGTATCTTTTTTTTTTACCACTTAATCTTATATGCTGCATTTTTGGACTGATATAAGGGCCCTTTTTCACACCAACTCTTGAAACTATTTGCATCTCTAGTTCCCATTTGTACAACTGACACTATTCTGATCTTCATTTTATATTTTGGAATACATCTTCCCAATGGTGTTGAATTCAGACATTTCAATCCACTTTGGTGAGAGCATGTTTATATGGATGAAAATAATTATACATGTGTATGATTTTACATGAGGAATATGTTTTTTAGAGTCTTGTACTGAAATGACTTCCTGCAGTCATTCCTGAATCATACACAGGTCACGTTTGGTCAAAAGCACTTTCGGCTATTTGCAAGCCTTCACACGTTATCACCAATCTGAATGGACTTTCATACCTCATTTGCAAGAAACTGAAACTATTTTTGAAGTTGAAAAAAACATGTCCGGAATCAATACCAAATGCATGATAATTGATGATATTTGTTTATTGAAAGTTCTTGTCTGACATTTCTGAGCAAAATTTAAGCCACTATTAAGCCTCATCGAGCTGGTTGATGCATTTACCAGCTCCATGTTCTAAAGATGTGGTTCTACCTCGGGTGTGATTCAGTTATGATTGTCAACACTTGTGCAGTTTGCTTTTCCGGACGCGCCTTTTTGCGCCACTACATTTCGCTAACGTCAGTCGTACTTCCGATCTGACTCTACACCGACTCCAAATTGACAGATTCTTGTCAATAAGGGTGAATGTAATATATTGTTTGATCTGTTGCCTCTCTGGTATGTAATGATTTTCAACTCATTCAGACTCATCCAAAGCCCCGCCTCGAGGGCTTGCAAAAGGCTGAAACTACCTTAGACTTTGTGTCTGCCATTATTTGGAGGAATAGGGGGGGGGGGGGGGGGCGGTGAAATGGGAATTCAGTAACGCTAAACAAAGCACAATTTCTGTGCTGCTGAAGTTATCAACCTTTCAATGACATGATCCATGAAGAGTCGTCTTTTGTTATGATATTTCATGGAGCCTGGTAATAGCAGACACAAGTGGTGCAGTGTGACTCACTCATCCATTTAAATCTCTTCAACACAACCTCATTGCTTGTTATGTATTTTCTTCCTTTAACTATTGTTTGAATTTCAATGTAGACGGTGAATGGTAAATTTAACATCTGCAAAATTATTACTTCAAAGTATTAATCATCAATATTCTACCTTGTCTAATATTTCAAATACTGCCATAATGAATGAATATATTTTGTAAAGTTGAATATTTTGATGTGCACATACTATAGACAATTTTTTGGGAAAAATTAAATGTCATTGAATGTTTATATTGAAGTTGTGATAAAATATCAATCTAAACCTTGATTTAAACTCCGTTATATCTTATGTGAGTAAATGTAGGCAAGTCTCTATATTATCTCATGTAGCATACTGTACCTGTTTAGTGTCATGTTGTAGTCTAGTCGTCATAGTCGGATTTAACCATAACATTTGGCTTGATTTGTGATATGTGTATCATCCGTTGAG